GCTGGGCAGGGCTCCAAGGGAGGCCAGTACAGCCAGGGGTTATCATGTTCTGGGTTAATTGCTATATATAATATATATATATTTATTTATTTATTTAGGACTTGGACATCAGTGATCCTTGTGGGTCCCTTCTGACTCTGGATATTCTGTGATAATACAATAAATAACCATATTAAACAATATATACACTATAGTCATTATATATACCAAATAAATAGTGTATATCTATAATAACTAGATATACTTACACAGAATAATATAGTTATAATAGATATCTATAAATACACATTAATTGCAACAATTATAACATGGCCTTATATTAATACTAAGAATTCTATAAATGTCAGTACGACATTTAATAGAGAAAAACAACGAATAACTGTGACTCAGGATATTCTGTGATAATATAATAAATAACAATATTAAACTATATATAATAGTAATTATATATACCAAATAAATAGCATACATCTATCTAATAACTAGATACACTTACACAGAGTAATATAGTTACAATATATAGAAATACACATTAATTGCAGCAATTATAACATGGTGGTACATTAATAGCAGAATTCTATAAATGTCCATATGACATGTAATGTAGTTGATAACAGATGACTGTGACATCTTGCTGGCAGCACGGGCACATCGGGTGGGCGCTGCCCAGCTCTGGGGCTGAGGGGACAAGGGACGTGCCAGCTGTGTTGTGCCAGCTGTGCCGGTGCCAGCTGTGCCGGTGCCAGCTGTGCCAGCAGCTGCACGAGCCCTCGCTGTCACCTTGCAGGACGTGTCCGGCAACGCGGCGTTCCTGGCCTTCACCCCCTTCGGCTTCGTCGTCCTGCAGGGGAACAAGAGAGTTCACTTCATCAAGTGGTGAGTCCAGATCATGGGGTGTGAGTTTAGATCATGGGGTGTGAGTCCAGATCATGGGGTGTGAGTCCAGGTCATCGGGTGTGAGTTCAGTTCATTGGTTGTGAGTCCAGATCATGGGGTGTGAGTCCAGATCAAGTGGTGAGTTCAGTTCATCGGGTGTGAGTCCAGATCATGGGGTGTGAGTTTAGATCATGGGGTGTGAGTTCAGATCATGGGGTGTGAGTCCAGGTCATCGGGTGTGAGTTCAGTTCATTGGTTGTGAGTCCAGATCATGGGGTGTGAGTCCAGGTCATCGGGTGTGAGTCCAGGTCATCGGGTGTGAGTCCAGGTCATCGGGTGTGAGTTCAGATCAAGTGGTGAGCTCAGTTCAAGTGGTGAGCTCAGTTCAAGTGGTGAGCTCAGTTCATCAGGTGTGAGTTCAGATCCTCAGGTGTGAGTTCTCCTCCAGGGTGAGCTCACTTCCAGTGGTGATTTCCCCCCACGGCTCCCTGGGCATCCCCTGGGCTGGCCGAGGAGTGGCCGAGGGGCGGCTGAGGGGTGGCAGAGGAGTGGCCGATGGTGGTCAAGGGGTGGCCAAGGCTGGTCAAGGAGTGGCCAAGGAGTGCCCGAGGAGTGCCCGAGGAGTGCCCGAGGCTGGCAGGCTGTGTGGGCACCGGGCAGCGCTCGCTGCACCCAGGGCGCTGCTGCCCATTGTTCTCTGTGTCTGTCCCCACTAAACTCCATTGTCCCCACGTCGGCCACACCCCAAAGCCCCAGAGCCTCCCCAGCTGTCCCTGGGCCATGCAGGGTGTCGGGTTTTGGCCGGCGTGTCCCTGGCAGCTGGCACTGCCAGTGTCCGTGGGACGAGCCCCCGCTGACCCTCAGCTTCACCCCGGGCTGTCCCACACTCCAGCTCCACTTGGTTTGTGAGCCAGGGCTGCTCTCAGCACCCTGCGGCACCCCCTGGGCTGGAAAACGGGCTCTGGAAGCTGCTGGAGCTGCGTGGGCACAGCTCCCACCTGCCTGTCCTTGTCCCTCCAGGAACGAGGTGACCAAGATGAAATTCGAGGGGAAGACTTTCTATCTGTACGTAAGCCAGAAGGAGGTGAGTGCTCTCCCTTGCCGTGGACGTCCCGGGCACGCCGTGCTCCTCCCTGCAGCGGGACTGTGGCAGCAGCACCCCTGCAGGGCAGGGGCGTGGGCACAGCAGCTCTGTGCCAGTGCTGGGGTCACCTCCCGGCTCCTGCCGGTGCCCGGAGGTGGGCATTGGACCGAGAGCCCCCTTAGCCCCAGGGCACAGCCTATCCCCAGGGTGCTTCTTCATTGCCATCATCCCTCAAAGTCAGCCACAGCTCCACAGGAGCCATCAGCAGGAGTTTTTAAAACCCCTGTTTCTGTTCCCAAGGGCTGGGAGTTGCGGGCACATCTGCCCATCCCTCATGCCAAGTGCTGCACCAGGCTGATGCCTGCATCCCAAGTGGCTCCAGAGCAGGGTTTGCTCGTGCCAGTGCCACTCTCCAGCTCTGTCTGCTCCGTTCTTTGTCTGCGGGATGAGCACCGCTCCCTGTTCTCCCTCTGACTCCCTGTCTCTCTCCTTTAGGAGAAGAAAATTGTTCTCACCTATTTTGCCCCGACACCAGAAGCCTGCAAACACCTCTGGAAGTGTGGGATCGAGAACCAGGCTTTCTACAAGTACGTGCTGCTTTGTGGGGTGTCCCCACGGGCTGGTGCCCACCTGTGGGCTCCATCCAGGCACTGGGATCGGTCACTGGCTGTGTGGCACCTTGGCCAGTGGCCCTGGCAGAGCCACCAGCCACCAAAAGCACCTGAGCACCCTGACGATGGGGTCTCTGCCCTGCAGGGTCCCTCCTTTCCCAGCCCCTCTGTGCCCATCCCTCCTCAGCAAACTCCCACCAGGAAATTATGACTAATTATTTGGGATGAAGCCTGGAATGCCAAGCAGCACCATCCTGTTCGTGCCATTCTTAACCCAGGCCACTTTGTGCCTCCTAATGAGTTTCATTTTAATCAGCAAGCTACGAGACAGAGCATTCGATGCATTCCCACTGGGAATTCTGCAATCAGCAGCTGCAATCAGCAGGTTTCACTCCTCATTACATGAACATGAAATGAAATTGCAATATTGCTTTACAAATCTCTCTGTGATTCATCGAGGCAGTGAATCACCCACGGGTCGTGCACCCGGCGGGTGGACCATGGGCTGGCCCGAGGTGCTGCTGGGCACTGCCAGGGCGAGGGATCAGCTGCTGTGGGATGGGGAGGAGATGGGATGGTCCCCCTGGGCAGCCTCACCCACGCTGGCGAGTGCCCACCTGCCCAGGAGGGGCTGAGGCTGTCACCCTGCGGTTGCCCGGCCGTGGGGATCTTTCAGCCCCCGGAGAGGCCAGTCCTGCTCGTGGGTGTCACTGCTGGCCCTGGGGCCGGGCAGGAGCTGTGGCCCGGGTCCCTGGCACGGCCCTTGGCAGCAGGTCCATCCCGGGCACGTTCCCAGTGCCAGCAGGAGTGGGCTGTGCTGGCTGCGGCGCCGCGTCCTGGGGGACGCCCACCCTGCCAGCAGCGGGGTCAGCGACACCCCCGGGCCCCGCTCCCGTGCCCGGCCTCGCTGCCCGGCTGCCAGGGCTTGGCAGGACCCTCACGGCGCTCCGGGCCCTTGCAGGTTGGAGAAGTCGAGCCAGGTGAGGACAGTGTCCAGCAGCAACCTGTTCTTCAAGGGAAGCCGCTTCCGCTACAGGTGAGTCCTGCGCAGGAGCGGCTGCTGGGGGTGTGTGTGTGTGTGTGTGTGTGTGTGTGTGTGTGTATGTGTGTCTCTGTCTGTGTTTGTGTCTGTGTGTTTGTGTGTGTGTGTGTGTGCGCTGGGTGTCTCTGTGCCCCTGGGGAGCAGCTCGGGGCTGCAGCAGCCCAGGCACACCTCAGGCCTTCCATGATCCCCCCAGTGCAGCACCGACCCCACCGGGCCACCCCCGTCCCCAGCCTCACAGGAGAGGTTTTGGGGGGGCAGGAACAGAGGATGGGAGATCAGGGGGTTGGGGACACCCAGGGGCACAGTGCTGGCACCCTCCTCGCTGCCGTGGCAGGACCCCGATGCCCGTGAGGCGTCCATCGCAGCTGGGGGGAGGCGACTGGTGTGGGAGGTGGTGGGGCCTCACTGAGAGCTGATGGATGCGTGGTGTCCAGCACCCCAAGCCAGAAGAAGCAGCAAAACATGGTGGCAGAGGTGTCAGCCCAGCCTTCCCCATCGCCCCCATTCCCTGGAGAAAACATTTCTGCTTTCCCCTGGAGCTGTGTGGGGAGGGGCCCAGGCTGTGCACGGGGTGCCCACCTGGCTGCCAGGGCTGTGCCCCTGTCCTCACCTCTGCTGGTCTTGACCCACCTGCAGCGGCCGCGTCGCCAAGGAGGTGATGGAGTCCAGTGCCAAGATCAAGAGGGAGCCCCCCGAGATTCACCGGTGAGAGCCTGGCAGCAGCTCCCGGGGCAGGAGCCCGGGGTGGGAGCGTGGCTGGGGCACTGCCGTGTGCCCAGGGCACTGCTGTGTGCCCAGGGTGGGAGCATGGCCAGGGTGAGAGCATGGCTGGGGCACTGCCGTGTGCCCAGGGCACTGCTGTGTGCCCAGGGTGGGAGCATGGCCGGGGTGGGAGCGTGCCCAGGGCGCTGCCGTGTGCCCAGGGCACTGCTGTGTGCCCAGGGTGGGAGCATGGCTAGGGTGAGAGCATGGCTGGGGCACTGCTGTGTGCCCAGGGCACTGCTGTGAGCCCAGGGTGGGAGCGTGGCCAGGGTGAGAGCATGGTCGGGGTGCTGCTGTGTGCCCAGGGCACTGCTGTGTGCCCAGGGTGGGAGCGTGGCCGGGGTGGGAGCATGGCCAGGGTGAGAGCATGGCTGGGGCACTGCCGTGTGCCCAGGGCACTGCTGTGTGCCCAGGGTGGGAGCGTGGCCGGGGTGGGAGCGTGCCCAGGGCGCTGCCGTGTGCCCAGGGTGTGAGCGTGCCCAGGGCGCTGCCGTGTGCCCGCCACGCTGGCTCTGTCCTGGCCCTGATCCTGTCCCCGCTGCTGTCCCCAGGGCCGGGCTGGTGCCCAGCCGGAGCTGCCCCTCCATCACGCACGGCCCCCGGCTGAGCAGCGTGCCCCGCACCCGGCGGAGAGCCGTCCACATCTCCATCATGGAAGGTAGGACACGGGGCAGCCCTGCCCCACACGCCGGGCACGGGGACACGCGCACCTGGGCACCTGCACACACAGGGACACACGGACAGGGACACACGGACACACGGACAGGGACACACGGACAGGGACACATGGACAATGGGACACACGGACACATGGACAGGGACACACGGACAGGGACACACGGACAGGGACACACGGACAGGGACACATGGACAATGGCACACAGACAGGGGCACACGGACAATGGGACACGCACAGAGACACAGGGACACATGGATAGGGACACACAGACACAGGTGTGCATATCAACACAGGGACACACAGACACAGGTGTGCAGACAGACATTGGTACACAGACAGACACAGGTACACAGATGCATGTACACACAATGTGCACAAAGACACAGACGCACACGTGCATGTGCACATGCATACCTGTGCGCACACACGCACACACGCACACACGCACACGCACACACACACGCACACACACACACACACGCACACACGCACAGTGTCCAGCTGAGCCCGCAGCCCCTTGTCCTCAGGAAAGCTGGCTGGTGTTGCAGCAGGCTGGAGCGGGGAGGCTGCTGCTGCTCCCCACCCTGGGGCTGTGTCAGAGTAGGACGCCCTGGGAAGAAGGTCCGGCCAAAGGCAAAACGCTGGGAGCAGCGCTGGGAGCAGAGGTGCCCCACAGGGCTGGGGACGTGCTGGGGGCTGTGGCTGTGCTGCTGGGGGTGGCTGTGTCACCTGCTGGTGACACCAGTGTCCGACTCCCAGTGACAGCGCTGTTCCCTGCCCCTGGAGGGGCCAGCCCTGCCCCAGCACGGCCACCCCATCCTGGCCCTGTCCCGGAATGCAGGCAGGGACAGGGACTGGCTGCTCCATGGGTGGGATTTAATTCCAACAAGGGATCCCAGGGCTGGTGGCTATGCCAGTTTTGGGTCACCTCTGCCACCCAGTTGCATGTGACAGTCTGTCCCCACATGCCGTTGGGAAGCAGCCAGTGCGTTAAATCACCTCCCACCATAAATCACCCCGAGCTGGTACCACCCCTTTGCTTTTCCTCACTCTCACTTCAGCTCGGTCCCGTGGGAATGCGGGTGCCCAAAATAGTGCTGAGCCCAGGGCCGGCGGCAGTGCCACTCGCAGAGCCGTCCCCGCGTCCCCACGTCCCCGTGCCACGGCCACCATGGTGAAGTGCCTGGTAAAGATTAAAACCAGGGTCAGCGTCCACCTGTGGCTCATCAACCACTGCTGCCGGGCGGTGCGGGTGCGGGTGCTGGCCCTGGGCCCGCGGCTGCTGTCCCGGGCCCTGGGCATTCTGCCGCTGCTCCCGGCTGTCCCCAGCCTCGGCCAGGATGCTCCCTGCGGCCCTGGGGACCCACCTGAGCCAGGTAACGCTGCGCCGCGGCTCCAGCGTCTCCTGGGGCGTCCGCGGGGCTCCCCGTGCACCGTGCTACCGTGAGCAGGTGGGATGCAGGAATGTGGGGGGCAGGATGTGCGTGGCAGGGACTGGGCTGGGGTCTCCGAGGCTGGCTGGACTCCAGGTTGGTGTTACCACAGAGCAGCTCTGGTGGTGGGGCCAGATTTCCAGGATTTTCCAGCTTCTGCTGCCGGTCCTGTGGAAGCAGATGGCAGGAGGGTTTGGGTCTGGGGGCCAGCACTGCTGTCCCTGTGGCGATGAGCAGTGGCACCCCCTCAGTGGCTGTCCCCCATGTCGGAGACACAGGGGGTGCCGTGGGGAACGTTCCCATGAGAGGGGAGAGTGCAGATCTGGCAGGGAAAGAGCGTGTTCCCTCCTCACTGCCCAGGAGCACAGCACTGACCTGGAGCTGGAGGCATCCGGGCAGTGCTCACAAAGGAGAGGCTGCAAATCCCAGGGAATGCGGCCGGATGAGCTCCGGGCGCTGCCCTTCACCCTCCGGCAGCCAGGACACGGTGACAGCATGTCGAGGTGCTTTAGTGCACTGTGCTCTGCCCCCAGCGACAGGCCCAGCCCCGTCCCTCTCCAGCCGCCTGCAGGGTGGCCCTGGGGACCAGCTGGTCCCCACCATGACCTTCAGACACCCTCCCTGGAGCTGGGGCCACTGCAATGGCAGAGTTCCTTCCTATCCCCCCCCGCCTGCCAGACCTATGTGAAGCAAGCCCCTTATGTGTGTGGTTTCTTGGAATTTGGGGGTTTAGAGGTGTTGGTAGGGGCAGGAGTTCCTTGGCACAAAGGGCCGAAGTTCAGCCTGGCACGGGGCTGGGAGCTGGCACGGGGGCTGGCACACAGCTCCTGCCAGGGCTGCTGCTCAGCAGTGAGCAATGTAAAACATTTGGTTTGTAGTGAACTCGGAGCAGCCCGTGCTGCAGGGGATCCCGCACACGATGGGGACATCTCCCCATGTGCTGGGGGACACCCGGCCCCACCAGCCCAGCACGACCCTCTGCTCATGCACCTCCCACCCGGGGGTCACCACTGCCACCCATCCCCGTGATGCTCCCCGCCCGTCCCTGTCTGTGCCACCCCGTCCCGGGCAGGTGCCCGTGGAGCCGCAGTGCCACGGCTGCTGCTGGCAGCGGCAGAGGGGCCCCAGGCACTGTGGGCCGCTGCCAGGGGGACTGTCACCATCCCCTCAGGGCAGCTGCAGCCCTCGGGTGCGTGTGATCCCCTGCGGCACAGCCCGGACCCTGCCGCGGCCCCGGCGGTGGCACTGACAAGCCAGACGGGTGTCGAGGTGCCAGAGCTGCAGTCACGGCTTGCGTGGAGAGGGCTGCAGGTCCCGAAGGACCGACAGGAACAACAAGCAGCGATCCAGGGCAGCCGCCGCAGCCTGTCCCTGCGGGGGACACCGGGGTCGGGCAGCGCGGGCAGCTCCCGGCTGGCACAGGGACCCGCCGCGCCCCGCTGAGCGCCCCTTGCCCCTCTCCCGTCTCCCCAGGCCTGGAGTCCCTCCGTGACAGCGCCCACTCGACCCCGGTGCGCTCGGCTTCCCACGGCGACGCCTTCGCGGGCCCCGGCCGGAGCGGCCGCGCCGAGAGCAGCGAGCGGGTGGCCGTGATCGCCGACGAGAGCTACAGCCCCGCGGACAGCGTGCTGCCCACGCCCGTGGCCGAGCACAGCCTGGAGCTGATGCTGCTGTCGCGCCAGGCCAACGGGGCCCCGTGCAGCATCGAGGAGGAGAAGGAGTCGGAGGCGGGCACGCCGGCGGCCGAGGCGGAGGGCGAGCTGCGGGCGCTGTGCCCGGGCGCCGGCGGCCTGGGGCCGGCACAGGCCCAACAGGTGAATAAGTTTCTTTTAAGTGTCCTCCGTTTGCTCCTTGTGACAGTTGGACTCCTCTTTGTTTTGCTCCTCCTCCTGATCGTCCTTACCGAGTCCGACCTTGACACTGCCTTTTTCCGCGATATCCGCCAGACCCCAGAGTTCGAGCAGTTCCATTACCAATACTTTTGTCCCCTCAGGCGATGGTTTGCCTGCAAGCTCCGCGCCGTGGTAAACCTGCTCATTGACACCTGAAGGCAGGAGCCACCACGGGGGCCTGGACCTGCCGCCGGCACTCACTAACCCCCCCCTCCCGACCCAGAGCCCGGCCGGCCGAGGAGGCGGCTTTCCGGGAGGAAGAGGAGGGTGGGCGCAGCCCCCGGAGCCCCCTCCTCCCCGTGCTCCCAGCCCCGGAGCCCGCACAACACTCCCGTCCCCGATCCCACGCACACGACTTGGGAAGCACCGAGCAGAGGGGAATTCATTGCTCCGCCGCCCCGGCCGGGGCTGGCGGGGCCGTTCCGCAGGAGCTTTAGCAATGGTGCTACTGAGGTTTCATTTAACACTCGTGTACTGTTACGGTATCAAATCCGCACTGTGCCCGCCGCCCCGCCCTCCACGAACCGCTTGGCAGAGCCCTCCCTGCCCACCGGAGCCTCCTCGGAGGTGACGCGGCTCTCGGGACGCCCCGGTGCCCTCCTCCCGCAGCGCAGCCACCCGGAGCCCTCGCCCTGCTGCGGACTCGGCCCTTCGCCGCTTTTTTAAGCCTTGAAGCATCAGTGCTCCCGGGGGCAGGGGAGCATGGAAGCCAGGACACGCCGGGCACGCGTGGCCAAACCCGGCGTGGAGCTGTAGTGACTGTGTCAGATTTATTGGGATGACCTTTACCCTCCGCCAGTTGTACCTGTTTTGTAAAAAAAAAAAGCAAGCAAAAAGAACAAAAAAAAACCAAGAAAAAAAAAAGAGAGACATTTCAAGGTCTATTTTAACAAGGAAATGCTATTTTGTTATCAAATCTAATCCAGTCTTTTTTTACTTTATGGATGGGGTGACCGTGCGTGGGTGCCGCGACCGAGTGGTTCCCAGTGAGCGATAGTTTAAGAGTAAACGCCGGGAGCCCAAGGCCAGCTGAGCCCAGCTGGGTTTGGGACAGAGAAGGAGCTCTGATTTTGGGACTCCTCCCAAGAGGACACGTCCAGAAGTGCAGGTGACACTGATGAAGCCAACAGACACCTTTAGCCCCGACCGTCGTTGAGTGCAAGTCAATAAACCCAACTCATCGTGATGACCCCCGGACTGTTGGTCACCAGGAGCAGCAGCCCATCCACAGGGAGCAATAACAGCCAGTTCTGGTTAGCTTGGGGTGACAAGTTGGACATATCAGCAAAAAAAAAAAAAAAAAAAAAAAAAAAAAAAAAAAAAAAAAAAAAANAAAAAAAAAAAAAAAAAAAAAAAAAAAAAAAAAAAAAAAAAAAAAAAAAAAAAAAAAAAAAAAAAAAAAAAAAAAAAAGGGGTAAAAACAGCTGAGCAAGTTTAATTTCATCTCAGGGAGAGATTCTTCTGTAAGCTGGGGCCGTAACTGCAGTTTTACAAAGCCTGATGTCCGTGTTGTCTTTGAGCAGCACTGCCCACGGCCAGGTGACGTCGGGCCACACGGGCTCCTTGTCACTGCAACACGGGGCCAGGTCCTGCCAGGGGACACAGTCCCCTGCCCCGCTCCCAGCACGGCCCGAGAGCGGCGGGGTCCAGCCCCGGCTCCAGAGCAAGGCAGGAGCCCTCGGGAAGGCTCCAGGAGGCAAGGAGCGATTTTTTTTACATGATAATCCTGTTTTATGCAACATAGCAGAATTAACTCTTAGCGTAGTGTTCCTACCTCAGCCCATAGCGCTGACGTTTCTATGCAGTTGTGCTCGTCCCGACGCTGACATTTTTCACCCCGGGTTAACGCTGCGGTGTCGTCCCTCCTCCTCCTGCTCTCCTCACTGCGATGTTCTGTGTGACGTGTGACAGCACAGCCCCGGCCGCGCTCCATCCTCTTCGGACACGTCCTCGAGCGCCCAGCCGGGCCCGTCCGCCTCGGCTTTCCTCGGGTAACGCTCCGTGCCAGCCCCAGGTCACCTCTGCCGTTGTCACCCAGGGTTTTACTGCAGAACCACGGGAATTGGTGGTTTTCCATTGTACGTTTCTCCCGTCTGTCCCAGATCTTGTCGTGTTTCAGGCCCTGTTAGTTTTACCCGTCTTTCTATCAAAATGTTGTTTCCATAGGTTCTGAGATCAGAAACCCATGAATCTCGTCCTAGCGTACTGCATCTTTCAGCAGTAGACAGTAAAATACCTGAAAATGTGAATTTCTTAGTTTTCATACAGAAAACCTAGAGATTAACCTTTCATGTGCCAAATACTGTAAGTTACATCTTTTTTTCCTTCAAAATGTACCTTTTTCTACATATCCAATACCTTAGTTAGCATAAAATCATTGGTGCCATGAAAAGTATTTTTAAATTTAAATAAATATTTAAATATCATGGGAAGCAGAGTCGAGATGAGCTTTGTTCAGTGATTCTGATTTTTTCTTATGAAAACAGCTCAAACTGTGAGAAATCTGGTCTTTTAGCAGCTTCCTACAGGAGTGAGAGTTCCAGAGCTGCAGGTGAGTCCCTTGCATGTCTCTGCACTCCAGGAGCACAATTTTACAAATGCATCTGGGAGTTTTGGGCCCCTCACCCTTTCCCACAAGGAAGGCACTGAGGGGCTGGAGCCCCAGGAGTGGCTGAAGGAGCTGGGGGCTAAAGGATCACTTTTAATTCCATGGAAGATATAGGTGCCAAAGGTAGTTACACTATTTATTTTAAGACTTTCAAAGTACATTTCTGTCCTGAGAAACAACAGTCATATTCAGAACTGCTTAATACAAATAAACAAAGTCAGTGCAGAAAAGTAAAAAATGAAGATCTAAAGGCACTTCTATTTGAACACGTGGAGGCGGCCACTGGAGTTGCCTCCCGCCAGGATGTTCTGGCTGGGGTGGACGACGTTGATGGAGCACACGGAGCCGAGGCAGTCCACGTTGCAGAAGGAGTGCAGCAACTTCCCGGTGTCCTGGAAGACCTCGATCCGCCTGGGCTGTGCCATGCTGCCCACCAGGAAGCAGTGCTCCTGCTTGGGGTCCCAGATGGCCCTGAAGCGGGTCAGCCAGCGGCCTGTGTTGTTGTTGTGCCTGCAGGGGAAGAGGAACGTTCCTCCTTGTGAATCCAGCATTTTAAATCATCATTTATGTCCCATCTGCTCCCTTGCCTTCTAAATCTTCAGCGCTCACGCTGCAGTGCTCAGATCCCTGCAGTGGATCCCTGTCCTGGGATGGGCAGGATGGGACAAGAACACCAGAATGGTTTGGGCTGGGAGAGGCCTTAGAGATGGCCCAGTGCCACCCCTGCCATGGCAGGGACACCTCCCACTGCCCCAGGCTGCTCCCAGCCCCATCCAACCTGGCCTGGGACACTGCCAGGGATCCAGGGGCAGCCACAGCTGCTCTGGGCACTCTCAGAGGAAACAGTTCCTTCCCTAAATCCCATCTCACCCTGCCCTCTGGCAGTGGGCAGCCATTCCCTGTAGCTGTCCCTCCAGACCCACAGGAGCAGCCCCGGCGCTGCCCTGGCCCAGGCACGCTGTCCTTACCTGATGGAGCTGAGCAATGTGACAGTGGGTGACAAGGACGTGGTGTCGTAGACCCTGGGCACAGAAGAGCACATGAACACCGTGAAGCTGTGCTGTAAAGCCAGCCCTTCCCTCACACAGAGCACCAGCTCCTGGGGCCAGGAGTGTGGACACAGAGAGCACCACACACACCCAGCCTGGCCACACGCACCAGCACCCCAGCTGGACCATCCCAGCTGGAAGCACTGCATGTGCCCGGGGAACCGGGTTTGCTCCCAGCTGGAACTGCAGCCCACCCTGGCTGGCAGCTCTGGAGCAGGGGCTGCAGAGCCCAAAGGCCAGCCCAGCATCTCACCTGCTCCTCCACCCCCGTGAACCTGGGGGACTCACGCCTCAGGGAATAAACTGCTCAGACCACACACAAAATCAGGCAATCATCCAAATTACACTCACGAAGTAACCAGGAGAAAAAGAACCTCTAACACAAGCAACTCACAGCAACTTAAATTATGAAATGGTAGGCTATTTACAGAAGAGCTGAGATCATCATTATTTCAAGTACCAGCTCCAAACAAATTTAGTTTCTGAGCATTTTGTGTTTGTGTTCACCAGCCAGGTTTTGGCTGGTTGTTTCTGTGGGTTTTGATTTTGTTTGTTTTTTAAAGATTAACAGTACCGGTATATTTTTTGTTTTAAATATCCTGAGGGAAAATGAGAATTAGGAAAAAAACAGCCAAACGAAAAAATCCTTAAGAACTACATTTAAAATGTTAATGCAAGTAAATATTTATCATTTTTTTAAAGTGATAAAGACACAAGGTGCTTGATGATTGGTCATATGGAGAAGTAATAATAATAATAATGATGATGATGATGGCAATGATGATGACAACAAACCACCCAAACAGTTGGCATTTTCCATGAGGATTCTTCCTTCCACAGCCTTACCTCAGCCGGTCATCAGCACACACTGTCACCACCCTGTTGCCAGTGACGGGTGAGAAATAGGCTGAGGCCACACTTTTGGTGTGTCCTGTCAGAGAGCTCAGGGGGTTGTTCTCCTTGGTGTTCCGAAGGTACCGAACATCAAAAGCACAAACGTCCCTGCAACAAGTACCACAAACACTTCAGTAATTACCCTTCATTCACCAAAAAAGTCCAGAGCATGGCAGGCTGTGTGGGAGCTGGTTCAGAGCTTCAATATCCACTCAGATGGTAGCTCTGAGGGATTTTGGGAGCAGCAAAACCACCCCAACCAGCCCTCCATACAGTCCCTCTATGCCAAAGCCCACCAAGGCCCATCTGTCCCATTTGATCCGGGAAATCAAACCAAGGAGTGAAAACTTGTTTTCTAAAAGGACTGAGACAGCTCTGACTGTAAATCGAGGCTGAGAAACTCCTCAGCCCCAGCTCTTCCCAGCACAGAGACCACTGAAAAACCAGCCTGTTCAGTCTGGGCTACGTACACGGAGCCAGCAGCCAGGAAATACTGTTTTTTCACGGGGTGCACGTGGACTGTCCGTGTCCTCGTGAAGCCAATGTCCACAGTGAGCTCCGAGGACACCCCCGGCGTCCGTCTGTCCACAACAGCCACGGGCCCGGCCCACTGACTCACTATGGCAGTGCAGGCATTCTCTTCCAGGAAGTCGAAGCAGGACAAGTCTTCCTCACCCCTGAAGATCTGAGCCCAGGGAAAGTTAAGTATCACAAGAACTAAAGGAAACAGGCAGTAGTTTTAACACCCAAATGCTCCCTGGGCAATGGGTTTCATCCTTTCCCTCTTTAATTCACTAAAAACCATGCTGCCCATGTGAGAGCTTCACCCAGCTGTGCAGGTAACCCTTCTGTGAAACAAGGATGCTTTCCACAGGGGAAATGATTAGGAGATAATTAACCATCCAAACCAGACCAGCAACAGCACACTCCAAATTCCCTGTCACCTCTGTGTTCCAGCAATCAAAGGGCTGTTGGCCTTGAGCACACACTGAGTGAGAATTAAGGATATCTTTCCCTTACCCAGTGCTCCAAAAACTTTTAATCATGTGCAGAAATGTAAACTTTGAAACTGGGAGAACCCAGGCTGTCACCAGGTTTGGGTGAGTAGGAAACATATCCCTATTTATGCGATGTTAATTAAATGTTGATTCACATATCCTTGTGGAACTAGAACCTGAACCTTCCTGCTAAGAAAACAACCAAATAACGAGTTGGTACAAGCTGACTAAACCCTCCCAGCAGTGCCTCACCTCATCAAAGATAGCCCTGGTGACATCGCCACAGCGCAGAGTGTCATTGCCGAGGGACAGCAAGTGAGCAGGGTTGCAGGGAGAGAAGTGCATGCAGTTGACACGGAAGTTGTGGGGGATGAAGATGTGGGCTCCTTCCTCAGTCCCGCTGCTCTGCAAAATGACAGATCCCACAGGACACAGGTGCTGATCACTGCAGTTATTTCTGTTAATGGCTACAACTCTTAAGGCCAAATCTCTGTCTTTTGAATGTTTTTTGAAGGAAGCAGAGGGTGCTAGGTGCGAGGAGACAACAGCACAGGTGATATGGACGGTGAGACTGCTTCTGGTCCCTAATTATGGAAAGCTGCAACTTCCTGCAGCGATTAGTGCCACTGCAGCCACCAGCCCTGGACCTGGAGAGCAGCACCTGGCTCATTTTCACCCACACAGCTGGTGTCTGCTACCACATCAAAATACGGACACACTGGGTTACTGAGAGCTCAGGCTGAGTTAGTGACCCAAACTCCATGAACTCAGGGTCTCCCGTGTCTTCTCTTCTAAGTTTTGCATCATTTTGTTATTTTAAAAGAAACTGAACAGGTCATTTTGGACCAAGTTCCGGTTCATCCCACAAAGAAGATTCTGCTTTCAAACTTCAGAAAAATAAAAGGGAGAGCAAAAGGGAGAGCTGTTCTGGCAACTCTAAATCTGACAGTCATTCTTGACAACCACCTGGTATTATCCCTAAGAATAGGAAAAAACTAAAACACTCTCATGAGCCTGACAAAATGCCAGCCCAGGCTGTGCCCCTGAACCACACACCTGTTGAGATGAGGAGCACATCAACCACTCACCACATTCCAGAGGCCAACGTGCCCCACAGTGTCTCCAGCTGCCACAAGGATGGTGCTTTCGGAAGGGTGGATGGCCATGGAGACCACCCGGGTTTTCACCACCTTCCTGATGCTCTCCTCACTCAGCACCATGCTGCTCAGGCTCTCCTGGTACCTGGAAAACCAAAATGACAACCATCACCAAAAGTTCATTTGGGAAGGAAGCGGGGCCACACAACCCCCAGTTTTGGCCGCTGTTTTCACGTTACCTCTTTATGTCAGGTGTGCCCTGCTCAGCAACATCAGCTTTCAGCTACAGACAGAGAGATCTAATGAAAATCAGAGCCCAAGTGAAATTACATTGTCCAAAAACAACACATAAAACATAATACCTCACTTATCCTCATCCACGTGCTCAGTAAAGCCTCTGTCTGTTTACTGGTCTCCACCTGATACTCTGGAACCATGGGCAAAGGTCCAGCTGGAACCTGAGGCTGGGAGGACATTGGCAATGTTTGTAACTCAAACCAACTAAACCACAAACAAGGTGAATTGGTACTTTCCCCACACCAGACATTCTGAGAACACGCCTACCGTAGGACAGGAAATAAACAGTAAAAACAGAAGGTGATATCACAACTAAAAAGAGAAAGAGAATTTCACTGGCAGCACAGACCAACTGCCTCCCTGGGCTTCTTCCACTCCTGATACTCCAGCAAGATCTTTACTACAGATTCAAATCTATTCTACAGCTCCATGGAAGACTTAAATTCCCATCTCTCAGAACAACATGCCTTTTACTTGTTGCTCCATCACTACTTCAAAGAGATGCTAAGTATTACCCATGAAAATAAAACCAGCTCAGAAGTTACAGCAAAATAAAAACCAGAGTAATAAACGTTTGGATTCAAGGCTGCTCAGCTCCATGGATGTGGAACGCTCTACCTCAGGACCCTTCTGTGGAACCCCAACTGCAGCATGCCATCAGCCGGGGCTCGTGGCGAGACCCTGGCACCTGCTCAGGTGACAGAACTGACCCCTCCTTCCTGTCCCTGTGTCACAGCTCCCAAACGCCTCAGTGCGGCGCCCAGTGCCACCCACCAGTGTCACCAGCAGTGGCTTTAGAAAGCTGCTGTCCACCCACCCCTCCTGCAGCCATTCCCCAGCTCACATATGCCTTTGCTACTGCCTGGGCAAACGGGTCCAGCAATGGAATGTCCATCGGTGGCTCCACCCGGAGCAGGCGCATGGATCGCCGCGGGGCCGGCTCATCCTCCACCTTTTTAGGCTTGGCCCTGGAACAGTGAGAGCACCTCAGCCACGGAGCAGAGTCCCTGTGTTTAGGGACAGGCCCAAGGGCACAGCCGACTGACACCAGCCCCTCCTGGCCCTGCAGGAGGGATGGGCAGCTTTTCCAGCCGTGCCACTGAGGAACAAACCCAGGAGCGCTCTGCAATGCACATGCAGCTGCCACCACTGCTCCCCTGTGATGCAGCCCTTCGCAGCTCTCCTCATCCATTATCCACCCAGCCATTCCCACCTTCTCCCACCACACAGCTTACTCTTTATTTGGGCTTCAGCTCAACCTGGCACGGTTTTGGCACGGCCAGTGTCTTGTCCTCCACATTTACTGGTCCCCCTCTCCCTTGCACCTTGGTCACACCCTCCTTTTTTCCCCTTCACCTTTTCCCAACATTTGTTTTCCTCCCACAATGAAGAATTGAGGATATAAATCTCATCTGCTGTTACTGTACCTTTTAGTGACATGAGATTGCCTTTTAGTGGTAAGCTGGTTAAGCCTTGCAGCTGACTTAAAAGAGAAAAAAAGAGATTAATTATAGACAATGAGCATAAAGAATTAACCTGTATAAAATACAATTATCTCAAGTCAGTGATGAACTTACTGCAATTATTTATAATAATAAGAAAGAAACTGTGGTTGCCCCATCCCTCTAAGTGTTTCAGGCCAGGCTGGATGGGGCTTGGAGCACCCTAGTCTATGGAAGGTGTCCCTGCCCATGGCAGGAGGTGGAATGAGAGGGGCATTAAGGTCCTTTCCAAATATTCCAGGATTCTGTGATTTCATGGCTTTCCTCATACATAGCTGCCCCAATGAAGAAAGGGTTTCACACCAGGAGAGACAACAGTGCAATTATGACACTTGGAAAGAGCATTTTGATGCTATTTAGACTCAATACAAACCTCATGCAGCTTTAGAGCAGCAAAGAATTTAGCATTTTCTGTGATGTTCTTTAGCCTTTTCCTTTCATAGGCTGACAGGTGGGAGTATCCATCCTACAGAATGAAAAGACAGTCACTCTCCATCATACAGTCACATGTCTGCAAGAGTGGTCCCAGGCTCAGGAAAGTGAGTCTCTGAACTGATTAAATTATTTTTAAGTGATTTTATATATTTATAACAAATGTAAGACCATACAAATTGGGGTGGTCATGTATCAACAACAAAATCTGTCCATACAGGTCCAGTTTGCTTTACAAAACTTATTCTGGCATTAACTCTATGAAGAGAACTATACCAACATTTTTAATAATGAAAGCAGTAACAAAGAGACTGAATAAAGAATTTAAAACTTCAGTGAAAGGGTAAAATGAAGTGGGACACTGCAGCCAGAGGTTAAAAAGGGGGAATAAAACTTACTTACAGAAGAGGAACGCTATAAAGATAACCGGGGGCCGGGTACTCACCGGAGCCGAGTCTCCCCCGTCGCTGACGTCGCTGTCCGCATCCCGCAGCCCGTCCTGGCCGCGGGCAGCCGAGCTGGGCCCGGGCGGGGAGCCGGGAGGGGCTCTGGGGCCGCTCTGGGGCTCCGGGCACGGCCTCTTGCCGGCCGGGGCGCGGGCGCTCAGCAGCCGCTTCTGGGGCAGCGGCGTCAGCACCACCCGCAGCTGCCGGCCCAGCCCCGGGGCCGCGCTCGGCCGGCGCTCGGCGGGGCCCGCCGGGAGGGACCCCTGCGGGGGAGAACGGGGCTGGGAAGGGCCGGACTCCTGCGGGGGAGAACGGGGCTG